ATATTCTAAAAAAGGAAATATTGAGAAATAGTTCAATTATTTCACAAATACTTCTATCCTAATGAGTAAATCATAAGAAATCAACTATCCTCGTGTTACACCAGAGTGACACTCGGAAATAAAGAACAGTAATAATTGGAAAATTAAGGCTTTCATTTCAAGATGCATACTGCTCTAGGGTATGAGTAATTTGAATTGTAAACTCAAAAAAATTAAAAAGTATGCCAGGTGTGGGAGCACACACTTGTAATGCCAGCATTTAGGGGGCTGAGGCAGGAGACTGTTGTGAGGCCAGCCTGGGCTACATAGTGAATGCAAGGCAAACCTGAACTACATGATGAGACCTTGTCACAAAACACCAATATAAATAAATAAATTAATACATAAATAAATGACTCACTGCCCATAATGGTGTGTATGAGGGAAGAACGTCAATGGCTTTTTATTACTTTTTTAAAGATACAAGCTTCTTGTTCCTACGGTGAACTACCTTTGTCCTGTACTTGTTTTCGTTTTCTCTGAGATTGTTTTTCCTATTTCTAGCATGTAAAAAAGATTTAACCTAAAAGTAACAGAAATCTGATTTTCTGTTACAAGAATTTTTTTTTAAATCATGAGCAGTCAAGGGTAGGAGAGGAATTAGATTTCATTCACTGGCACAATAAAAATATTGGTGCGCAAGGCCAAATTCAATGTAAGGTACAGGAGAACAGGATAAATCCTGAGGGTATTTGACTGACCTTATCAGACCCAAAAGCTACAACTCTTGTTGCATAGGTCCTGCTTTACCTTGGTCTTAACCATCCAGCAGAAAGTATAAAAACAAAGTGTAAGAAGTAAAGCCACACTGTTATGTTGAGCTGTAGGGGACTCAGGTCAACAATTTCTGACACTGCCAGTCAAGCGGAAGACCAAATACTATTATGGGCTACTGGACTCTTTTAGAATATTTTGCTGAGTTAACACACCTATAATATTCAAATGATGGAACTAAACAAAAAAGGGTATACAGATGAATGTCCATTTTGTACCTGTGTATTCAAAATGGTTGGGATAGATATATAGTTACATTCTCTTAATGAATAGATGGATTTGTTCAAACAGAGTTTGTAAATAGGATATCATGTCTGCATCTTGTATAGCAAATAACCACTAGGAAGAATGTATGCAATGGGTTAATTTTTGAAACTGGCCTACCAATTTGGTTTGAAACTGTCTCATTGCTATTTGTTTCTCAATAAAATTATGGAAAAATAAATAAGTAAATTAAGGCAACCTACTTCCAGCAGGACATATAGAGTAGGTCTCTTTCTTAAGAGAACAACAAGTCCCTTACTTTAGTCTGATTAGGCCCAATGGACTGTTCTTATGCTGCGTTCATACCCACATCTGTGAAATGTCTTAGCTCAAATGGCTTAGAGCAATCAACGCTAACCTTGAGACATGGAAACGGGATCCACCCACTTCAATCATAAGAACTGTTAGAAAGAAATTTCCTGATCAACACAAGAGTTCTGATGTGAAAAGGGGAAAATAGTTGTAGAAGAGGTAATCAGTAGAGTGCACCATACTTTTAACTCCTGACTGACCTAAATATTTTGACTAACTGTTAATGATATGCTTTACTGGCCATAATACCACTTATACTTTAGCCTAAGTGGCTATTACTGTGGGGAAATGGATAATTAAAGATTAAGTTAAGGATGGTAGAGAAACTTGCTGGCTGAATCCATAGCTGTAATATCAACCCACAGCTACACACACTGGTACCTTTGTCCAGCTGCTCCGAGGTGTAGCACAGCAAAAATCTAAACAGAGAGTACTATGCATACCTGAATTACTGTCCTTAAAAATTCAGAATCTGAATAGGACCTGGAACCATCTGAATAAAAAGGTAAGACAGGATTACTGAAATAGTGGACTAAAAATTGACCAAACTATTAGCATTCAATACTCATCCCCACAGAATTTTATACTGTAAGCTATTTTGTTGAACAGCAAGTAATTCAAATAAAGTAAGGCCCAAACTTATAAAAAAGCTCCATTCCCAGAATAATGTAAATCAGATTCATCTGTAATCTGACAAAGTGATTCTTACACAGTATGTCTGTGAATCTTACACAGTACACTTGTCAAAGTTCACAACTCAGATACAGACAACCCAGAAACATAAAACAGAACAAACCTTTGAAGAATTCAATTAAGTATAGTGCTAGGGTGTGGCATTCTTTCCATGTATCACTGTCTTTAGACATAAAAGCCTAAGCTTCCACAGGCAATAGGGTAATCCAATAAAGAGCTTTCACTCCCAAATTCTGAGAATAGAAAGTAACATTTTTGCAATTTAGAGGACAAGGAAGAAAAAGGACTATCAATATCTTATATCATTCAAGAGTGAGGGAAGGAATAAAACAAAAAGAAGGAAGGCAGGGACTAAGGGAGGAAAGAAACCAAGTTATGGAACAGGTATTTCTAGTTCAATTGCCTTTATTGAGGACAGAAGCTGCAGATGTAAGTTACTTAGACCTTCTCCTTTCCAAGACTGGGAAAAAACAGTTGATGGTATAAACAGATATTATAAAGACAATAAATGATTCACTAGTATATCATTAGAGTACTTAAAGCATTTTCTGTTTTTGAAATAATTTGCAATGAGGGCACAGAATCAAGGTGTTTATGTGCGTCCTTTCACTCTGTCTTACCAATATTTTTTTCATCCTGAGGACTATAGTAACAACCATACTTGATGGGTTGCTGTGAAGAATTAAGCATCCCCATTTGGCATACTGCTGACAGCCAGTAAATGTTACATTTCTAGCTCCTGAACTGAACAGTGACACATCCAAACTGGCTTAAACATATTCCTAAGTTAAGGGGTCAGGGGCCAACCGATAATTACTTATCTGAAAACTGTGGCGTGTTCTGTTCCCAAATAATACTGCACTGTTGATTTGGAAAGACTTTTTAAAGGCAACTTCAGATTTGTGAGCAGGGTAGCAGAGAGTGGACTTTGACTATAGATGCAGACAACTTAATCATGAATATGGTAAGGATATTTTCTGAAACTGAGACTTTTTAATTTGAATATGGTAGGATAAGTAAAACTGCTTGTAAAGAAGTTATATGACATACATAGGTTAATGCTTTTTGGATTTTATTTATAAATAAAAAAGACAATGTACTATTTTTTGCATCCTAACTTCCTTACAGATAAAATATTACAATTAAATTCTGTTTATACTTTTGTTGACCTGCATTTTACAACGTAGTTCTGATGTTTTATATTTAGCTACTTTCAGAACACGTCATGAGAAGTTTCAAAAGAAAAGTACATGACATATACAGTTCTCAGGTTTCCACAATTAATCCTGAATTTATTCAATTTCTATTTGCAGAAAGTCTGAAATACTTTTCATTGACATTTAGAGCTGTAGACTTCTATCTCAATCAGCAAAAGAGTGCCAGAAAAAGTAGCTTATTATATAGACAATCATGAAAACAAAGAGAAGAAATAACTTTCAATTCTCTAAAAATCATTTATATCATTAAATCATTAGGTACAAGTACATCCAAGACATGGGGGAAATTAGCACTTAGCTGCACGAGTGAGAAGCCACTTTTTATAATTTCTTTATTTCTTCCAACTGAGCAGGAAACTTCAATCTCACTTAGGGATTATAGAGTAAAAAGGATCAGGAACAATCCTTCTTTTGTTATTATTGTTCATTTGTTTGAGACAAGGTCTCACAGTATAGTTCGGGCTGGCTTTAGAAACACTGTATAGTCCAGGCGGACCTCAAACTTTGGCAGTCTTCCTGCCTCAGATTCCCAAGGGGTCTGAGATTACAGTTATGTATCACTACATTCAGCTAGAAAAATTCCTGTCACTCCACACCTTCTTTTTTTTTTCTTTTGGTCTGTTTTCCTTTCCCCTAATATTCTTTTACTAGCTCAGAATTCTTATTTTTCAAAAAAATAAGACTAAGTTGAATTTTTATCCCTCTGAAAAGTCTTACTTGATCACTTTTAAATCATTTCTTTATAGAAGTGAATTTTTACTTATTTTTAAATTCCTTAGTCCCTAAGGAGCACCACATTCTTTAAGCTATTTCTATTAGAATTTTATATTTCAGCTTTGCCTAGAGTTAGAATTTCAGATAGCTTAAAAACATTTTGAGTTTCACTTTTAATAGTTGCCTGTAAGGTATACTTAGCCTTTTAGAAGAGATATGCTTTTTAAAACAATACTCTCAAATTTTTTATATTCCTATAGACTTGCAACTCCAGAGCAGGTCTCCAGTGGAACTTAAATTAATCAGAGTTTCAAAAATTGGGGTACTCTGCCATTTCCAAGAAAGCTTGATATAAACAGAAACTTGAGAATCAGACTATCTTGATTAATTTTTCTAGTTGAAGTTGTTTTTCATATACTAGATTTTACTGAAAATATAAAAAAAGATCAGATTTTTTGTTTTCACTTAAGTGGTAAATCTAAGACAGGCTTTCTCAACCCCTGCACTACTGACATTTGGGCTGGATAATGGTTTTTTTTTGCAGTGGGGTAGGAGGCTGGTCTGTGTATCATAAAAGTTTTAACTACAGTGCTGGCCTCGTCTTCCTACTAGATGCCTATACTAGCTTTTTTTTTACCCCTAGAGGGTAGAAGAGGCTGGGGATGCTGGTCAGTTTCCTTACTATGCACAGGTTAACCCACCAAAGCAATACATTACCCAGCCAAAAAATGTTACTAACATAGGTTATTCATTTCCTGTCCTAGTTTTTCTGTTTTATTTAATATGCTACTGTACAACATCTGACAATAAAAACCTTTCTCTAGACACAGTCAAATGTTCCTGAGATCAGGGAATGGAAGCAGAGTGAGGCAAAATGTCCCCACTTGAGAACCTCTGTCCTAAGGGGAATATTATTTTCTTCATCATTAATACTAAAGATTCAACAATAAGCCTGAACCTTTATTTATAAAGGAGGCATACAATAACTAGAACTAAAATTTGTGCTAGTGAAAACTTACTTTAAAATAAAATCATACATAAACTATAATTAAAAACTGGAAAGTTTTTGTACAATAAGGTCAGATTTTAACTGAATCTCAGCTAATTTCAAACTTATCTCTCTATAAAGAGCACCACTCACTTTTAGGTTCATTCCTAAGAGTTTTTCTTTTTCTGTCTGAACTTCTCTTCTGTACAGATGGATTTTCTCTGTGTCATCTGATAAAGCAGTCGTGGCACTACTGTTTCCTTTGCTTACTTCAGAGCTCTCCACAAAGTTGCTTTTAACCTGAGCTAATACAGAAGAAGAAAGAGAACTAAAGGTAGCCAGTTCCTTCTCCAAAGTCAATGCCAAATGATCAGTTGAGAAATCTTCACTTCCTAATTTTAGATTTTTCAAGAAACAATTTATAGGAAGAACTCTGATGAGATTATGAAGGTACTGGAACAAAACTGTATGATTCCTAAAACAAAAGACCAAACATAATATTACAAAATGAAAATAGCACAAAGCAGTCATATACAATACACTAATCAATATTTAATTATAAACACTATAATCATTAACAACAACATGCATGTGATACTGATAAAATTCAGGAGGTAGTAATAAATACATGCATCCTATTCTAAGAAAGTTAATATTAGTCATGTTACTTGCTGATTAAATCTCTTTTGCTGTGAAATAAGTTAAGTATTTGTTTTAATTTTGCTATGAAGAAGAGGTAATAGAAAATCTTAAAATAATTGCTAGGCTCTAAGAAAAAGTCAAAATCAAACAAAATGAAAGGAGAGATCTTTAGTTTCTAAATGAGACCTGTCCATCTGCACTATACCAGAGCATGGCTGTCCCATCATAGAAAAAACTTTACATGGGGCTCACAGTTGGACTACGCATTCACCATACTCAAACACACTAACTTCTGTGGATCGATTACAATGTGACATACATTACCTGTAATAGACTGTTAAAATCCCATCAAATGGTGTTCTTTGTTTCCAGGTGAAGAGTGTCCCATGGAAGCTACCTGGCCTTTTACAAAGGCACATTTCTGGAAATTCTTTGATTACTTCACCTTTCATGTGTTCTGTGAGCCACACCAACATTGAATTTAGGGTATATCCATGTGATATGATTTGAAAACAAGATTTCTGCAATGCTGCAAGATACGCAGATAGATCTTCCACGTGTTCTACAACATAAACATGTTACAAATTCCATCACTAAACTCTGACCATTATCAAATAAATAGTCCCTAAAAATATGGATTGAATAAGTATATGATGAAAAAAATCAAGAAAAATTACCTAGGGGTTTGTCCTCTGGGAATGTCAGCAGATATTTCCCACTTGAAAGATCTTCTAAACTTAAAGAAAGTCTGCCACATGGAATACAACGATCTTTAGAATAATTATTATTTTCTCTTTCCCTAATTTGTAGCAGCACAATGCAACAAAGTTTATTAGATGCTAAAAGTGGTGATAGCGATGTTATACCAGTAATTATCTGAACAGACTCCTTCTTCTTAGATGGCTGTTGATAAACAAAGCTTTCTTCTTCCGTTCCATCAGAGTTCAACTTGATCTTTTTTGCCTTTGATCCTATTTCATGTGGTATCAAGTCTGGTGCTGAGAAAGAACCCGTACTCAAGCTAATCACCTTATTTTGACACTTTATAACCTGAACACTGGAGTTAAAGCCTTGATCCATTAACAGCAATAAAGTCATAGCATTCAGGGACCTATAAAAAAACAGTTGATTTATTTTAAAAGTTCATTTTAAATATCAAGTAGATGACTAACCACAATATAAACAACAAACATTTTCCTCTCCTTTTCTAGGAAACATCATTTCAAATGTAAACTATATCAGACAATTAAATTAAAAGGTCTTGTCATAGCACTTCCCTTAAAATGAGCAGGATAAAGCATGGAAAATATGCTAGACTTTTATAAAATATTCTTAAGGAAATAATAATAAAATAATATCTACGGTTTTTAGGTATTTTCCCCACCCTCTCTTTAAACAAGAAAAAAATCCTCATTTTTCAATAGTTTGCTTTGGCAATATTTTAAAATGAAAATTCCTCTACAGTAAAAATTACATTTCATATCCTCCTAAATGACTTGAATAAAATCTTTTTTTTAATATATTCTTTATCCTTCAGGATTTGCTCCCAGATCTACATTTTTAATAATTTGTAAATATATGTTACATTTCTACACTGACAACATTATCAACTTAAAACATGAGAAATGTGACATAAACCAAGAGACAACTTGAGGGTTTTTTAAAATTTTATTTTATCTTATATTTTCAGACAGAGTTTTGCTATGTAGTTCAGTTTGGCCTTTAACTCACTATGCATCCCAGGATAGCCTTGAACTCAGCACTCCTCCTGCCTCAACCTCCCAAGAGCTGGGATTACAGAAGTTTACTGCCAAATACCCAGCTTGAGAGAGGACGTTAGCACACAGATATCTCAGTATATATATAAAATGGATTTAAAATGAAACCTTTTTTTTTTTTTGCATTATCAGGGATTGAACTCAGGACCCTTCGCTGGCCAGGAAAGTATTTATTCTACTGACCTATCTCCCTGGCCCCGAAACCTTCATTTGCAATAATCACTTTGTTGCTATTGTTATTCTGGGAATATTGCATACAGATTGAAGAATGAAACAAATAAGTAATTATGCTGGTGTAATTTAAAATTGAGGTCTTTCTACAAGATTAGTAGTGATAAGTAAAGACATTAAGGTTCTTAGTTTGAACTAGAAATTTCAGCATGAATTTACACCATTTTAGTACTAAAAAATAACGAAACTACAACACCAACCAATAAGTCAATCTTCCACCTCTGTCCACTAAAAAGGCAAGGAAAAAACAATCCTCTAGGAGCAACTGAGCAACTTGTAGGTCCAAACTGTGCTGTCTAAATTACAAATCACATTTGAGGGGATGACTAAGTAAGTGATGAAAAGAAACGCTCTCTTGACACCAGCATTCTAGCTAATAAAGAAGCAATGATACACTTAGAATGTCATCACACTGCAAATCTTAATAAAACAACAGAGCTAACCAATGACCAGGAGCTGCTAATATCACAAAATGAAAACGCGCCAGATTTTCCATGCCTCCAAACAGAGGAATGTAACATTATCTATTAAGTATTATCTCAATAAAACTTCAAGCACTAATCTGATCCAGACTCTATATCTAACTACCAATTTAGAGAAAATAAAGGAGACAGAGAATCATGTGAAGCAATACCACAAGATGAAATCAGCAAAATCTAGATTTACACTTCTACAGAACTTCATAAGGCAAACTCCTTAATTTCTTTAAAACACACAATTACAAGAGAAACACACACATACACAACATAAAAACGTATCTATAAAATATAAGGGACTTAGAAATATCAGATCCAATTTATAGGTCCTATTCAGCTACTGAGTTGACAAATTAAAGTTGAGGCAAGTAAGAAATTGAACATTTAGTCGATAAATTGCTAGTAATTTCCAAGGATGATAATACACATTTTAAGATCTTACTTTTAAGGTGCATATACTGGAATAGTTAGGAATCAAATAATGATGGCACTGATTGCTTCAAAATAATCCACAGAATGGGAACGAGGAGTGAATGGAGGTACTAATGAAACAAGATTAGCAATGAGTTGCTAACTGCTAGAGCTCAGTTATAGGTTGATATGGATCACCATAGTATTATCTCAGTATGTTTAAATCTTCTTTATTCACAAAAATTTCAAAAATACAGTCATTCCTTGGTATTTGACTGCCTTGAAACTCATTGAATTTGGTACTCAATGTTTCTGACACAAAAGTTTTGTTGTTTAGTACATGATGCACAAGCTAGAACTTGCCTCGTGACTCGCTACCCAGCCAAAACAACTGTTTAGTAGTTATGCCTCCTCGAACCAATTAACAACTGCTAAGTTACCCATGCAATCATGCTTAGCACATTAAGGAAATAAAAGAGACAGTAAAAACCAGACAGATATGAAAAAGAAAAACAGAACTTACAATACATATAACAATAAACAATGAGAAACTCAAAGGGTGAATTAAAGGGCTGGGTCAATAGCTCAGCAGTCTAAGTGCCTGCCTAGCATGCATGAGAACCCGGGTTCAATTTCTTGCACCACATGCCATACCAGCCCCAGAACCATGCTGGCCCTGAGACTAGGCATGACGGTACATGCATATGTAATCCCAGCGCTGGACAGGCTGAGACAGGAGGATCAGTACAAGTCCAAACTGCATAGCAAGACCCTGTATTAAATAAATAAATAAGTAAAAAAAATTAAAAGACTGGATTAAAGAACTGAATATAGAGAATTAAGGTTAAAATTAGTGCACAAAGGGGCCAGGGAGATGGCTCAGTAGAATAAGTGCTTCCCTGGCAACTGCAAGGGCCTAAGTTCAATTCCCGGTTCTGCCAAAAATAAGATAAAATAAATAAAACAAACTTCTTTGAGAATATTTTGCTGAGTTAACACACTTATAATATTCAAATGACGGAACTAAACAAAAAAGGGGATACAGATGAATGTCCATTTTGTATCTGTGTATTCAAAATGGTTAGGATAGATATATAATTACATTCTCTTAATGAATAGAGGGATTTGTTCTACTAGCGTTTGTAAATAGGATATCATGTCTGCATTTTGTACAGCAAATGACCACTAGGAAAAGAGTATGCAATGTGTTAATTATTGATACCGTCCTACCAATTCTATTTGAAACTGTCTCATTGCTATTTGTTTCTCAATAAAATTATGGAAAAAAATTAAAAAATAAAAAATAAAATATAAAAATAATTGGTACACAGAATATCCATCAGAAGAAAGTAGGCGGGTTCAAACAGACATGAACAGAAGATAATATGAAAGAGAAGTTAAGAGATATGGAGTATAAAATGAGCAGGTGTGGAATTTCATTTAGGAAATAAATCAGAAAGCTTCAATATCTAAACAGATAATAATTAAGAATTTCTTCAATTTCCAGAAAAATTTGATTTTCAGGGCCAGGAAATTCAACAATCTAAAGGAGAATCAAAGAAGTCTGCATCTAATAACATTATGATGAAATAGTTAGAAAAATAGTAACAGAAACCATCACAAGTAGAAGAAAATACTAAATATCAAAATCAATAAAAAAGAAAACATACAACTGAAGATCAATATAACAATTATTTGAAAAGATTAATAAAATAAATTTTTGGCAAAATTAATCAAGAAAGAGATGTCAGAATGAAAAACATTTGACAATTCTGATAATATAGTTGATAAATACCCAATTCTCCTCGGAATAATTTGTATTAATAAATGTGGTATTTTATGTAAAACAGAAAAATTACTGGAAGATATTAGTAAAGTACATTTAAGAATAAATAAAACCTGAATAATTCTATATTTATAATATAAATATAGAATAATAATTCTGTAACTCTTTAAAAATTGAATCAGAAGTTAAAATTTATCTCATAAAAAAGCCAGATTTTTATTACTTTCTAAGTACAACCAAATATCAAAGCACAGATAATTCAAAATTCAAACTATTCCAGAGAATATAAAATAAGGCAAGAATTCTCAAAAAAGAAAAAAGAAAACAACTTCTTTACATAGTAGTATGACCTAGGTATGGTGATACACCCCTGTAGTCCCATAGACTCAGGAAGCTGAGGAAGGAGCAACACTTGAGACCAAGAGTTTCAGAACAGCCTGGACACTGAACAAGATCTTAGCTCAAAAAAGAAAAGACAGTTGTTTAATTTTTATACCAAAACCAAACAAATACTGTTCAGGAACATTTCAAGCCCACTTTACTCATGAACATACATGCAAACATTCTTGACCACACATTAGTAAACCGAATTTATCAATGCACCAAAATGGTATTATGAATTTTTGTTTATCTCGATAATGCAAGACTATACTTACAATAGAAAACTGGTTATATAACTCATCACATTAAAGAAAAGAGACAAAATACTCATATCAACTAGCCTAAAATACCTTAGGAATTCACTGAAAAGAATAAATCCATATCTCAAAGCCACTAGATAAGTAGTCTTGGCTCTGTACTTCATTAAACTGCTCAAATATACTGCCACCATCTCTCCAATTATTGTAAGGCAGTACCTGGTCTGTCTCTGTCTCTCTCTGCTCATATATTTGTGGTTCAAATGTAGTACTGGAAGTCCTTTATTTAGCCTGTTTGGGCTAAAAAGCTCTTTGCTAGACTGCAGACAACATAAATATTACTTCTTCATCAATGATTTTGATAGCTCAAAAAAGAATACCTTCTATGACCAGAGAAACACTGTTCCTTAACTAAATTGCCACCAATTTACACTAGTCAGTATCCTCTAAATATTCCTAATACTTCTAACTGTTCTAATACAAAGTGTTGTGTGTTCTTAATTATCTCTACCTTGTGATTACAATGACTTGCCTTTATAAATGACACCTTCTTCATACAATTAACTCAATGCACTATGTAAAAGATACTTCTAGAGTAAGGCTGGCTAAGAGTAGCCATTAGGCATATAAGGATATAGAGCACTAAAAATGAGTCAAGTTTGCATTACAATATTTTATTTACAAAAAATATGCATCAAATTTTCTAAATTTTGAATGAAAAAATGTAAAATACAGTATCTCATTAACAGTTTTTATATCAACCACATGTTGAAACATTTTTGATATATTGATTAAATATATCATGTCTGCATCTTATAAAATGAATAACCACTAAGACAACAATATGCAATGTATTAGTGAAACTGTGCTAGTAATTGGTTTTGAAACTGCGTCATTGCTATTTGTTTCTCAATAAAATGATTTAAAAAAATAAAAAATAGAATGAAGGGCTGGCTCAGTCTTTAGTCCTGGCTTTAGTCCCCACTATCACAAATAAATAAATAAGTAAATAAAGTAAGTCAAGAAATTAAAAAAAATCATTAAATTTCACCTGTGTCTATTTACTTTTTTAATATGGTTACTAGTACATTTAAAATTACCCACATGGCTTGCATTAATTTCTATTGGCCAGCACTGGTCTAGAGCAGTAGTAGTGAACCTATGGCACCAGTGTGGCAGTAGGCTGTCTGTAACACTGAAAGCTTTAAAACGTTTACCATCACTGGTCTAGAATATCAGTATAGCAGTATCATGTCAGAACTTACAGCTTCAAAGAAGATGTAGTTTTCACGCCAACAACTAAGTTATCATCCATTACACGATACCAGATCTTCTCTACTAGCTGTTCTGAACTTTGATAATTTTCTGGTAACTTTTCTTCAAAGGTATGGACACTACTTTCTTCTTCACCACAAAAAGCAACAAGACAATCCTAAGGGAAAAATAGGTTTAAGTATCTGATTACAAAACATGTAACAAATGTGAGAAAATTAAAATAACGCAAATCAGCTTTTGGTCAAGTCTCACTGCTTAAACATTTTAAAATACTTCATATTATATTATATTATTAGATTATATGTAACTCAGTAAAATGAAATTTATAAAACACACATCAACTATCTATTCACAAAAAGAATATATCACAATTGGAACAAGATCAGTTACTCAATATAAAGTCACCAGGGATATAAACCTGGAGTCCAGTTATTTAAGGGGGAAAAGGTTTATATAGTTCAAAGTCTGTGCAGGTTTCAGTCTATAGTTACCTGGAGTCCATCTTAAAAAACCCAGGTAACATACAATATATCCTGAGTATAGTGAAAATATTCCAAACTGTATTTTATCAGTAACTTACTCTAAGCCTACAACTATAAAATTCATATGAATAAAACTGATTAATTTATCTTTGGACTATTTATAGATTATTGGTAAAATTTTATTCTTAAACTCCAGGCCATATCTAGTCACTTCCACACACATACAGATTTATAGTAAAAAATGAAATAGTAGTATTAGGCATAGAGAAAATGATAATAATATGTACTATCTATTGAGTGTTTACTCTATGGACTCCACTGTTCTAAAGCCATTCATGTGTCAATTCATTCTAATCCTCACAATAACCTTAGCATCCTAGGTTGTCTATGTTATCAATCACTTTTTCCAGAAAACAGATAAGCACAGGAGCCTCAGAAAGGTCAAGGAACATGCGGGGTCTACACAGCTAGCAAGTAAATGGTAGAGCTAGTTTTGAACTGAAGCAGACCGGTTCCACAGACCATACTCTCACTTAACCATTGCTCTACACTGCCTCTTTATGTGGTAATTGCTGCAAAAATATGTGGGCATGTACACAACAGCGGATTAACACATTCTTCGTACTACAAACCTTCTGCCAGTAGCTGTGGGATGTGAGCCAAGCTAAATCTGAAACCTGAGGAAACTGTAACTACTAACCAGGGTCTTTTTTTAATTAACAATGCAAAGGGCTAAAAATAGGCTGTTGCACATAGGGGCTGCGGTACATTAATTCCTAAACATTTCTTTCCTTTTCTAATACAACTAAAATCACAGGGGTGATGTGGGGAAGGGAAAAGGGAAACTGAAATGGCCAATTTAGAGCACGTCAGAAAGAGACCTGAGGGAATAAAATGCAACATTAAGTTTCTCTCCTTTCAATTTTTCTTGATTTATTTGTACTTTGCTATGCTGCTTTTTCTCTGTATATGATTAATATGCATCGACACTATTTTTTATGATGTCTGAATATTTTTGCTAACTTTCTATATTTTACTATACTGACATGACTAACTTCAAGGTACCTGAAGAGAGTCTTGTTATGGCCAATCACAAGGAAAAAGAAAATGAAATTATGAAATGTGGATAAAAGGGCTAAGAAAACAATGTGGGAGACATTTACTGCAAGAATAAATATCTTTAGAAATGAACAACTCAGTTGGCTAAAAGAACAACTGTCATTGAACAAATGAGGAAATTATGACATCACCAATACAAGGTTAAATAATGCTCAGTATATTCTATTTATAAATTCAAGAAATACATGATTTTGAGATAACTTCACTCCAAACCATAGAAATCAACTCTAATAGCAACATTCCTCTTAAACAAAATAACTTATTCTCCAAGGTTCTTTATGACTAAGTTTTAATTTAATTAAGATTTAATGTCTTACAGAATTATATGCCAATTACAATATTGGCTCCTTAATCAAATATTTTTAAATGTCATTAAAGACTACCAGTATAACTCCTGCCACTTTCCTTCTTGTCTGAGCAGCGACATGTACCAAATTCCAATATTGAAATTTAAATAACTCTTCACAGCTTGTAGAATTTCAACTCATAAAGTGCTAAAATGGCCATATAATTCATCTTACCTCCTCTGCACTTGATGTACTATAATGTTTTCCTTGAATCGAATTCATTAAAGCTTTCCAAGATTTTGAAAGAATTTTTTCCTTAAGCAATAGTTCCTTCTGTAATTCTTGAATAGAAACCAAACCAACCTGTAAAGCAGAAAGAAAAATAGTCACTAGAAACATTGATTTCAACTGAAATCAGACATACCATTAATTCAGGAAGTACTTTCTCCAAATGGGATTTGTATTTCATCTGCTATGGAAAAATAGAGTATCTTTCAAAGCACAACTGCTTTACTGATAGAATTTAATTCTCTAAAAAGGTATTTCTTTCAAAGGAAAACAGCAAATAACTGCAATACAGTCTAAGGATCAAAGTAACAAGGAATCAATATGAATAAAAATCTAGGCCTACCAATATTCTCAGTTTCATACACACAAAACATTTTTCGTGGTGAAATAATTTCTGCTTCAAACACAAAGCACCCACATAAGTAAAGACATTATCATGACTAGAAATGATACTTTGAATGACAATTTGAAATCCTTTGTTCACATAATCTTTATAGCAAAAATTTCAGGATAACATATAACAGCCCCCAGTTGGCTGCAAGTTTGTTTTTGTGCTAATAATAATAGCTCAAAACTCTATTTAAAAAATATTAAAAAGTACAGTGCTAAAAAAATATTTTAACTCTGAATGAGGAATGTAGCAATACATCCCTCTTATTTTCCCAGATAAATAGATTTCAGCACTACAGATAAAACATTCATGAAATATATTTTGCTACTAGAAATTTAAAGAGTTGTGTCACTGAACTGAAAGAAGTTGTTTCATTTCAAATGGATATCTGAGGCTGTTTAATTATTAATCAAGTTTTTAATAAAACATGTTTTTCTATATTTAAAAACAAAATGCAATCCTTTTTTAGATTCATTTCTTTTAAATTAAATTTTAAGGCAGGCAAATCTGTTTTCATCAATGACGAGACACTAGAGAGAGAAGACTAAGTTATTTCTGTATCATATATTATTGTACAAACTATGTAAAATATATGCTTATATTTTCAAACTTCTCACACTGACCTAGTTCTCTAGACTTTACATCTTTCACACTCCAATACTCAATTGTTCAGTAATTTGTGACTTCGGTGAAAACAGATGCACCCAAATTGAAGCTCCTAGATGGGTAGGGAGTACAGCTAAGGACTAGAGTGGGCAGACCAAAATGAGCAACATTTCACCTTCTCTTCCTGAATGTGCAATCCTATTTGCATAGCTAACAGGACTCCTAATCTTCCCAGAACTTTCCCCTGTAGATGTTTAGGACTTTTTTCCTCCTCTCAAGCAAACAAAAATCTTACTTAAAAACCAAAATGAGAGCATGCTACTGAATCTTGCTTTATGTTCTTTTATTTTTGGTTACATGCAGATGAATAAACAAAAATGTTCACATAACAAGGAAGTCATCATGCATATTAGTACACCCAAGTCAAAAGGCAACACTGCAGGAGCTGCTGGTGAGTTCCCTTTAGTCACAAACCTTCCTTTTTCTCCTGGAGACATTACCCTCACTCTTAAGCTAACTTCCTTATTCTCATAATTTTATCACCTGTGTATAATTCTTAAGGAACATTCTAAGCGTTTTGTGTGCGTGCTTTGTTTCAGATTCTGTTATAAATGGAATCATTCTGATTGCATTAGGTTTCACAGTTGTGCATATCTTCACCAGCAGCTGTGGATCAGTGCTTTTGTTGCTCTCTAGGAGTACAGCCTGTGACTACCACAATTTACTTCTCCATTCTGCTGATGGGCTTTTGGATTATGCCCAATTCTGGTTCATCACAAATACTGCTCTGAATATCCCTGTATATATTCACAAGTTTTTCCAAGGTCCCAGTGTCCCCTATGCCCCTCAAAGAATTGACTGAGAAACATTTCATGGGAGAAAGAACAGTGCAATGAGGGCCGGTGAGATAGCTCAGTGGACTAAGCACCTGCTGAGGCAAGCACAGGGACTGGGGTTCGATCCCCCGCACCACATGCTACACTCGCCCCATCCCCAGGTGCACTGAGCTGAGCAAGGAATCCGGGCATGGTGGTGCACGCCAGTAATCCCGGTGCTGGGGAGGCTGAAAACAGGATCACCAGGAGTCTGAGCTGCGTAGTAAGACCCTGTACCAAATACATAAAAAAGAACAGTACAATAGACTCTAGTTTTAGCTCTGCAAGTCATTTAAACTTCATAGCTCGTCATCATGGGTGAAATGGGGCAGACATAGGTAAATCTACTACAAAAGCAGCTATTGGTGAAATGCACATATTTAAAACAAAACAACTATCTCTGATGGCTCACCTCCATTACTCCTGCCTTCCCTTCACGTTGTTTAAAACCTTTGATATTTTCCTAGTTTCTGTGCTGCCTTCTGGATAATTTTTCTAACATATTCTGATTCATTAATTTGCTCTGCATCATTTTCATCTCTAGCTGCTAAAGTTACCCCTGAAAATTTTATTTCGATGTGTTTTCAGTTAACAGATATGCTATCTGGTTATTGTTCATGAATAAATACTCATGATGCCTTGTTTCTTTATGAGATTAGTCATTTTGTACGTTATTCATTTTCTGTGAAAAAGTCACTTGTGAGATTTCTATGAAGACAAAGATAAATGTGCATTTCCAGAGAACATTCAATGTTTGTTTCTACCAGGTGTCTGGGGAATCATGACTGTAGGTTCAATATGCTTGACCCCAGGGCAAAAGGAACATCAGCATTGTGCTTACTCCTCTGGTTTCTAGCCTTCGAAGTTTGGCTTGAGAATTTATTCTTATACTGTTAGCTTTTTGAAGCTGTAAAGAAAATTTTAAAAAATATTTCAGCTATCATTTAAAGTTGTTTTTAATCAGGAAAGTAGGTCCTGCTTTCATAACATCATGCTTCCATAAAATGAACTATCTTAGCATCATTTCTAAATCAATACAGAAATGTACATTATTGTTGACCACTATATAGTATTCCCTGCTTCACTATCAACTTATTTGCCATATTCTTAAGGATTGATATTTAAGATTTTAACCAATCTTATTATTTATTTTTTTCTTCTATATGTAGGACAGGGTCTACAGGATCTCACTATGTAGACTGGACTCATAGTGAGTCTCCTGTTTTCAGCCTCTCAAGTGCTGGGATTACAGGCGTGAGCTACCATGCCCACTCTCAATAGCAGCCTCAGTGTGACCTGGGTGTGAGGCTGGCATGGCATGCAGGGGATCAAACCCCAGCTGCTGCCCTCTGCCTAAGCAGGCACTTTAGTCTGCAATCTCATTATTTATATATACTACATATAAATTACTATAAAGCAATCTTTGGGCTTGGAGTATAACACAGTGACAAAGTACATGGTTGGTATGTATGAGACCTTGAGTTCAATCCCCACCACCTCACCTTGAATCATATTCATCCTTAGTTAGAAATAAAACTGTAAGGGTAAAAATATGTGTATAATTCATAATTTAATAGCTCATAACAAGTTTCCTTCAAGAAGGCAGGGCCACTTTATGCTCCAAACACCACTATATAAATAGCATCTATTTATATTAAGGAAGTTAATCTTTTGTCATATGACATAATTTATTCCCCCTCACACACAATTTATCTTCGTATTTATTTTACTTTGTTCAGGGTACAAATTTTTTAATATATCTATCTCTCCCTTTATGGTTCTCCACCCATTACAATGTTTTACTTAGCTACTGTTAACATTCATATGTAATAGGTATTGAATAAGCATTCAGTAAACTCAGTTTAACTTTCTAACTACGATAATAGTATTGTTTTTATTCAGAAGAATGTCCTCAGTTTTATGACTCCTACCAAAATACATGGAAAGGAAGCTCCCAAACTCTTGTAATTTTCAAAGTGTTCTGAAAATATGCATACATATAGGCATGAAAAGTAACAGTATAAAAAAAACAGAAAAGTAACAGTACAGCAGGCAAGCAACGATAGTCCCAGCTACTCAAGGAAACTTAGGCAAGAGTTTCACATCAGCCCAGGAGTTCAAGGTCAACCTCGGCAACATAAAAAGACCTCATCTCAAAAAAATAAAAATAAAGGAA